GGTTATTGCTAGAGATGGCCGCTTCGCATCCGGATATCCGGCTGCTTTTTCTAGGGAAACCGTCATCCGCACCCGCATCCGCATCCGCCAGCGGGTATCCCCCCGCCTTAGCGGGTATCCGAGCGGGTATCCTCGGATACCCGCCCTTTAAAGGGCCGGCAAGGGACCGGCTGGAAAGGTTTCCTTCCAGCCGGCGAGGTACATGCTCGACGGCTGGAAGGAAACCCTTCCAGCCGGTGAGTCAAGGACGGGTAGAGTGGACTTGTCTGATTTTCACAGTGGGGATAGATTCTCTACCCTCAGCAGTTGCTAATTGACTAGGCTTTATATAAAGAATGGTGGTCCTTGAAATCCACGTGGTCAGATGGAGGAATAAGCTGACTCCAGCCGGTCCAGGAGAGAAGATGCTGTACCTGCCAGCGTAGATGAGCATACTGCCTGAGGCCTGCTAAGTGAGTCTACAGTTTGAGGGGAGCCTGCGGTCAGCTTCGCAATCAGACCGTTATCGAGCTGACTCTTTTTAGGCAAGATACAGCTTCAGTCCTGGATAGGCTACTCAACAACATAGGCTGCTATGCTTCATATAGGTGCATGTCAAGGACGAAAAGAAGCATTCAACTTTCGCAAGAAGGAGAGAAAGACTTATGACAATCGCTTTGGATCGCTAGCCTTCAAGCATCTCAAGTCTCCTGAGAAGAAGCCATGCGCCCGTTGCTGCTAGTAATTACTACTAGTAGGAAGGAATAGATAAGGGATAGAAGCCTGCCCTACAGAACTAAACTTGCTATGTATCTTTCCGGGATAGCTGAGGGACGAAGAGGACTTCCTGCCAACAAGAGCAACAAGCTCGCCGTTGAATGCTATTTGAAGGGTATTTTCAAGCCTGTGGGATGCATCGACCGAAAAGCATGGCGACCTCTCGCCGGACCTTCAATTCATTCGCTTCCCGTGAGTTGCCTTAATCCGACTCATCCACAGACGCACTTTCGAATGTCAAAAAATCCCGGTGGCTTCCGCTTATGCTGCCCGTTGTCATCAACCGACCAATATCCAGACAAAAATATTATCTAGACAAGAACATTTGGGACCTCCATGTAACACGATACACAGAAATCCCGTTCTTCAGGGTGGTATCATCGCCGGCTGGAAGGAAACCCTTCCAGCCGGCCATCTACCCTTCTGGCCTCGGGTATCCTTTGGGATACCCGGATACCCGCCAGTGTTTTGCGGAAAAGGGGCCATCCGCACCCGCTGGCGGGTATCCGCCAGGGGATAGCGGGTATCCGCAACGGATACCCTGCGACCATCTCTAGTTACTGCTCTGCAGTACTAATTATTATTCATTATGCTTCTTGTTGAAATATTGGTGAAACTAGAAATTACTGCGGTAACCCGGTAGCGCTCATGATAAACCCAATTTTGTCAATCAACCGGTTAGGGTTGAGACCAACCAGGCATAAATGATTGCTTGGCCTTGCTCTCCTTTCTGATCCTCAATCTTGTCAAGACTTGTCAAGATTCAAACCTCTTCAAACCCTCAAGATTCTGATATCCTTCAATTTACCAATACTGATAAAAAATCCAGTGTAATGTTCCTCAACCATTCAGACTCCCATCCAAGAACACTCAGCTCATCTTCTTCCCTTTCTCTTCTGTTCGCTTATCAAGTCTACATTGGTCCTCAAAAATTGCTCACTCAAAATATTTCATTGCTCATAAATATTCTGCTCTGCTCTTATTGTTTGTTTCTCTTCCTCTATTAATCTTCATCATTGTTTCACCTTTCCTTTCTTTGTTTGATGATCAAATCACTGAATATTGTTTTGTTTTTTTCTCTTTTGGTATTTCAGAATATCTGCTCTTGCCAGCGCACTTGTCAACAAAATCCTCATTTGTCATCCACTCTTTCCATTTATAATAGTGGTATGCTAAGATCTTATTCTTTCATCTCTTTCTTCTCTATTGTCTTCTGATCATTTTCTTACAACTTATTCTCTTTTCTTTTTAGTTTGGTTTTCAGTTCTTAGAAATTCTATCATTGTTTCTTCACTTCTTTCACTTGCGCTTCATCTTTTATTCTTCTACTTCTTAGTTCCTATTTGTGTGGATTTTGGGTTATTTTAACCCCTGACAGTTTTGGAGGGTTGACTCCCAAAGCCAACTGGGGGTTTTGATTTTTTAACATATTCTCTCGGGAATTGACTTCCAAACCCACAGGGAAAGGAAATAGGGGGAAGGGATGTCCTGAGATGGTCCACAGATGGTCCTCAAGACATCCTTGAGTTTTGGCAGTTGACTCCCAAAAAAACCAAGCCCCTTGGAATTTGCTTTCAGTTGTGCATTTTTAAGCTTCAAAGCAGTTCATGTGACTGCTAGCTTGGGATAAACAACTTTAAGAGGAATTCCAATCATTGACCCCTCTAATTGATTTTGTAGCTCAAACTAAAATAAGATAAGAAAATGCTGGAACAGATTAATTATCCTATTCTTCCTCTTGAGTCCTTTAAATTTATCTTCCAGTAAGTGGGGGATAGTGAGAATTGATGAGGATTAAATCCAAAGATAATATCACAAAGTCCATGGACTTTGGTGTGGTATTCATCCGGATACTGGTTCCTATTTAGTAGAAAGTCTGTTGTCAACAACATGAGGATAGGGGATTTGTATCATTTTTTGGGTTCATGTTTTGAAAACTCAAGGCTCCACTGGGAGATTTTCATTAACATAGTTGATTTTTTTCTTAACACAGGTTGCTGATTTAGAAAGACATTGGAGTCAAACAAAGAGTACACACATTCAATTAATTGATTCCTGATAGAGATTTCACTTAGACTCAACTTGAAAGAAGAGAAAAGTATGCTTATGGGGGAATCCATACAGAAATGCTCTAATAGGCCTAGTAGATCCCACCAGTACAAGTGTGTTTGGCCTTGTTAGACTGCTATTGTGGGTTTTCAAACAAAAAAATAACAAATGTGTTATGTTACATCAGTTCAAATGTCTGATTTAATGCTTGGAAATTACATCAGAAATTTGAACTGATGTAATATCACATGGAAATATCTGATATAAGAACAGATAACGCTATCTGACACAATTTCTTTTGCAGTGGGTTTGAGCAAAATTGAGTACAAAAAATGAATAACAGAGATTTAACATATGCATGAAGAGATGGCAAGAGTACATGACTGTTGATCAAGACTAGACCAGGGTTCAAAGACTACAAGGATTTCAGTACTAGACAACAAGACAAAACACCACTCAGGCACCAACAAGCCTGTTGAATTTTTCTCAGTTCTGTCTCTCTCTGCCCTTCATCTCTTTCTAATCACCTTAAATCAGACTGAAGTTGTTTTTCCAAGTAGCTAGTTTTTGGTTGTTTTCTGAGTCCTCTTTTGAGTCAAATTTGAACCTTAAGAAAATAAGCTCAACTCAATCACTCTTGTCTCTACGGTATTAATTTCTTCTTTTTCTGGTTTATTGTCTGATATTAAAAATTGGTTAACAAGAATTAACACCCCTTGTTATTTGTGATTTAAAATACTTTGTCTTGACTAACTCATCTGGCCTGACTACAAGAGACTGAGAAGTTTTGTCTAGTTTGTTATTTTGAAGAACTTATTTTATCTTCTCTCAGTTTTTATTCAAAAAACATTCTTTATTCATTTTTCTTTCAACCACTTTTTGACCACTTGTACCTAGTCTATTTAATCCTGGCTAGTTGCAAGTGAATGAAAATTATTGGTTCTTTTCACTCCTTCACCTTGAACCTTTCCCAAAAAGGGGCCCCTGCCTTCTTTGTGCCACTTTCTCAAATTTCTCAACTTCAACCGGTCAAGAGCTAAAAAAAACTCAACAAAACCACAGCACAATCCTAACTTAAAAAAGTCCCTCCCTCCTACATGACGGAGTGGTGAGACACTGGTCGCATTGCGCCGACCGGAGGAAGGGACTTACGGCTTATACTGGAATCCCCCCTCTAGCCTATTTCGGATTTTGCTGGGGAAAATTTCCAAATGCAGATTCCTTCGCGCCCCTAGGTCCCATGCTGAACAGCTTTATATCATCATGACTGCATGCGCTGGGCCTTCCTGGATGTCCAGGTCTCATAGCTTCCTGAGCCCTGCCCGAGATCCTATCTGGATTCCAAGTGAGGGGTTTTTTTGCGCTGTATGATTAATACAGGTACGTCTAGTCCGAAACAGTACATACAATACCGCGAAGTGGTATAGTGAGCAAAATCGATATAGAAACAGGGAAGTTGCCCTCAAAGACAAACCATCTGGCTTTTGATCATATGGTAGCAGCCAAAAGATGGGGAGGAAGCATGCGCTTCTTTCCTTGTGCAAAAACTCCTTGCCAGCATGGAAACTGACCGAGTTACAGTGAATTCAATCCAACCCGATAATTCTGATTTAGGCTAGAGCGAGAATTTCAACATAAGGCCTAAGTCCCTCCTTCGGAGGGTCCCTTTGGGACGGCCCCCCCTCCGAATTCAGAGAGGGACTTTGTTAAGTTAGAGCACAATCATGTGTATTATTTTATCTAAACATTATTAATTAAAAAGGTGAGGCAGATGGATTTTTAGGGATGAGAAGAAAGAGACAAAATTCCAACACTGAGGGACAGACAGATAGTTGACATGGGATAGTGAACATTTCAAGCCTGAAAAAACAGGGTGGAGATGTGCATTTAGTTCTGATGATGTCAATTGTTGACTTCAAGGACAAGACAACTTTTAATTTACATGCAAACTCAAAAGGGAAACCGGGATACAAGCATAATTATAATATGATGTAAGAAAATTCAAACTGGTGGGGCTTTCAGGTTGCGGAGAAACATAAGGAGAAAGAAAGAAAAAGTTACAACAATGGCCCTTCAGCTATATAAAAGAATTTATAAATTGTGAACATATTTAGATCGGACTAGTGGGTTTTGGGTAGTGTTCACTTGCAATGTATAACGTTGAGCAAATAACCGCCTGAATCAAGGAAAACTAAGGCAAGCGGAAAATTTCTATAAAGCACCCGTTTTGCGCCAGAACGGATAATGGGAAGAATCCTTAGGTCAGTCTTCGATTTCATCCTCGCTGTCAGAATCATTTTCGAAAACGGATCTTGGCTCGGAGTTTTCTGGTAAAACGCTGGTCATGATGTCCTGCGGGTATCGTTCCTGCATTTTCCACTCTTGATTCTCGGGTATGGTGTCTAAAGTTTTGCTTGTTTTCTTTTGGGTTAGCCAGGTTTTCTTTTTGCGACTCTTCTTCGGCCAATAAGTTAAGTGTTGCTTGAGAGGTACATGTCCTTTGGGTCCACTTGAGGTTTCGTTGTTGAAGAGATTGGCATCCGCAGAGGACTGAGAGGGTGAGTTGGATGGATTGGTGCCGCTCGGTGGTGATGTGTGACTCTGAAGCGAAGAAATTGATTTGATCTGTCGATTATCACAACGAATTGCGGTTGGCGAGGGCTCCCAGGAGTGGCCAAAGCCACTTCCAGGCAGTCGAGCTCTCGTCATGGATAGTGTATGTGGATCTGAAGAGCAAAGCTCCCGATGTTGTGTTACTGAATTATATCGCCTCAAGTACATCTGATTAGGAGATGGTCCACATGCATTGTCAACCTGAAATCCCAAACATGGGTTGATTTCAATGATCAAAACAGCCAATTAGCTCATATTCAGTGATATTTTGTAGCAACCTCTACTGAGGAGAAAGAACTGACACGAAAGTCATGACGACGTGAATGGAAGTTGATGGGAGAAGTGTAATCCGTCCTCGAAACCTGAAGTGATGGGTTAAGTGCGCAAATAGCTTCCAATAAGATGTGTAGTTCTGCAGTCTGGAAATTCTGAGAGAGAAAATAATAGGGAAAGAATATGGGTAAATCTTTCGAAGCTTGAAGAATGACCAGGAAATAGAAATATACCAAGAGCTTAGTTTCAGGACTTGATGCCTGTTTCCTCGGCCAAATAGACTGGACTGAGGGGTTCGCACGCCGTTGTTGTTCGAGTGGAATCATAATGCTCGGAAAGCCATCCACAGACATGCTTGCGTCGGTTTGTTTTTGGGACAAACGAGGACGAGGTCGATGAGATCCAGCTGTGAGGTGTGGATGCTGGTATATCCCGCCTGGCGAAAAGCAAATGATAAGAGTATTTGAGACCGTGAGGTGAGGGATGAGGTATATATTTCAATCTGCTTGCAAGGGAAGTTCTGCAGATTGGAAACAAATCCGTGGACCGTTTGTATCTTGAAATTCGGATAACGAGGCAATTCAAGAGATTGCAGTGGAGACGGGAAGTTTATAGCGAGGTCATGGAAGAAAGCGAGGTCATGGAATAATGTACGAAGAGTCAGGCGTGGTTTCACACTTTGGCTCGACTGAGCATGTATGAGCAGGAATCCGAATGGAGCTGAGGCTCTGAGTATGACGCTTGATCTAGGTGTATCCCAAGTAGGTAAAGGGAAGAAACAATGACCTGTTCTTTGTCTGGTCTGAGTTACATAAAAAAAAGGGTTTGGTTTGTTGAGCGTTGAAGCTTGAACTACTGCCAGGGCCTAGTTGTGACCTAGCTCAATTAATGACCTAAAAATGAGCTTCATGCCACCGCTAACGCCCAATCGAGGAAATTGATGATGCTTTGGGCTGCTTGGATCATGATATCTCCCACAAATACCCAGGGCTAAGCCTCTATCGGAAGACATGAGTATGTACGCTAAGGCGCATCACGGCCGACTTGACTCCGGAGATCTCAACCTGAGAACACTTGACGTGTCCTGGATCAATTCCCAGCCCTTCAAGCGGAATGGAAGCGTCCGGCTGGCTCCTGGCTTCATTACCAGTGGCAGTGGCGAAAGAATGGAATGACCTTCGGATGGACAAACAGATGGATGGTCATAAAGCCGCGTGCCCCCGTCATGAAAAATCGATGTGCGGGCCAGGTGCGGGTCGCGGGTGCAGGCCGGTGCCCAAGCTCGAAGCAGGCTCTGCCTATGCCAGCCAACACCGCCAATGCCTCGCCAGGCCTCGCCTTGCCTCAATGCCCGAGCTATAGCCTATGATGTATGCCCCGGACACCGAGATCTCCCAACAGAAGAGACTTCAAGGCGCATATATATGCATACATCACATCGTGTAAATGTATCTAGAAATGCTGAGCTGATCTTCCCTCAGCTTCTGAAGTCGTCATCGACAAGAGTTCTTCAAACTTTGGCAGCGTTATCAGAGGTTTATCGTTTCGTTACAGGCTTTGACATCTGTGCTGCTTTGTGAGACCAGAGAAATCAGCGTCATTTTCAATCAGGACATTCCAACCTTAACTCCTATATACGCTTCCAAGAGCCCCCGCTCTGAACGTGTCATTCTTATCGAAAGAGTGATGTATGTAACCCGTATCAGTTGAAACGTCTTTCCAGATTTTTCCAGCCCTGCTCTGCACGCGAGAGCTCTTATCGCGTGAGCAGGCGTGAACAAGGCGTATGTTCGCGAACAGATTGTTTGATGGAATCCTTGCTGATCTCAAAAGTCCTCAAACAAATGTGACAGGGAAACAGAACTGAGAAAATTGATATTAGAGGAGACACGCGAAACTGATCAAGAGCTGTAACCTATGATCAGTCGTCATCTGATGTCACGTTCAGATAGGCTTGGTCATGACGGAAATCGGATAAAATTCCAGGTGAGGAAGGTTCATGAAGGATCACAATGGATCAAAAATCACGTAGACTGGAGATACACTTGAGACTCACCATTGGAAAAAATCATTGCGGCATTTGATCGTGGTTAACCAAGGAAGAAGTAAGGGCAACTGTTGCCCAGTGCAGCATACTTCAAATTTACAACTCAACTTCTGAGAAGTTCTCTTGCAAATTACATTGCTTCCAAAATGAATTTTCAGCACAGTGAGTGTGCTGGTGCACTGAGTTGATGTCTGAATACTTATTGTTTGTCATTATTTCATTTGGCAGCGTCATAAATTCAAGTGTAATATTGCCTTATAAATTCAATATAAAATAAAACAACTCAGAAATATGTAATAAAATTTTGACTGAGGCAAGTTCAACTGCTGATTTCAATTTTAGAGCAGAAAAATTTGAGATAATGGGCTATCTTCAGCACGATAATACCAATATTACACTTTTTACCCACATAAAGTGTGAAATCAATATTATGGGGCTCAAGATGGCCTAAGATATCAAGTTTGTTCTCAGCATTGGCCATAGATGAAACCAGTAATTAAACTTGCCTGAGTTACAATTTTGAAATACATTTTGCATTGGTTTATTTTTTATGGAATTAATCAGGCAATATTACACCTAAATTGATGACGCTGCCAAACGGGGCCTCAAATAAAAACACAAGAAATGTGCTGATTTCAACTGCTACAGGTGGCTCTCAATTCCTGCATAAGAGGCATGATGGCATACAGTTTTGGCCATCCAGCTGGTATAAAATACCTTGTTGAATGATATATTTTGAAATTTCTATTAAACAATTAGATTTGAAATGGCCTTTTTCTTTGCTCACAATATGTTCCACTTGCAAGTTTGACTTGCAAAGGAGAAAGTCAAGTTGGTTAGAATAGATTTATGCAAATGAAGATTAAAATTCAAAAAATTGCACAGTTGGGTTCCAAATCTTCAGTAATGCCTCAAAAAAACCATCCTGACAACAAAAAAAATATGAATGAAAAGGATCGCTGGTGGAATGCCCATGAGAAATATAAAATTCTTTTTAATGATGTTGATACTTGAAGATAGGTATTTCTCTTTCCAAAGTGATGTTTATGTGTGATTTGGAAAGCCCAGGAGAACTTCTTGTTGAATTCAATGATGATTTACAGAAAACTTGATGAATCGACCACAATGTTCAAAATATTGCATAAGGCCTTCCATCAGATGAAAATCCCAGTTTCTGTATGAAGTTTGATCATGGTAATCATTGTAAGGGTCAGAAATCATGTCACTTGCCTTAAGTTATTGGCACAGTGGGGATGAGGCTTTAAGAACCTAAAGAAGTTCTAATACCAAACTAGGGAGACTTTATCTCACTAGCTCAGAGAGAAATGGAGGTCAGTTATATTCTAGTACAGGATTAATCAGATAAAGATATGAAAAGGAAATTCAAGCTCACCTAGCTCAGGGAGAAGAGTGCATCAGTTCTCTACTTAGCCAGGAAAGGACCAGAGACAACAGCAAATATTCATCAAGAAAAATTGAGGATTTTTTATATGTGAAAGTGCTTGTGAAACCCGATTGAGGAGAGGGTTTTACAGTTATGCAGAGACCATGATTGATTTTCCTGGTAGTTAACACTTAACACAGAAATCATATTGTGGAGTATCTATTGGCATCAGGTCTCATTTATGAGAATTTTGATCAGAACTTCAGGATGCCTATTGACTGAACTTCAATTCATTTTGTTTGATGCCACATTATCTGGCTTGAGATATTTGGGAATTTGGCTCAATTACATGTTATAATATGTGCAAGAGGTAAGCATCAAAATTCACTTGTTTGAAATGATATTGTATATCTCCTTCTTATGATAACCAACCTCCTCCAAGTGTAAAAATCTGGCAGGGTCTGCTTCCCAGATTATTTATAGTTTTTCTGTCTACTCAAATCCATTATGTTTCTTGACATTGAAGAAAAGCTTCTGAATCCCCAATTGAGAAATTCCTGTAGCATATGAAATTAGAAACCCACATTTTCAAACCAAAATGAAAGGTGTGTAACCTGAGAATATTTTTAGACCACCACAAAATTAGGTTTGATAGATTATAAAATCAGGCTCTGTGGAGAAAACAGATCCTTTAGAACAAAATGACTTTGTGCTTCAAGACTTAATTTTTGTAAATTTCAGAAAATTTAGTTTGGATTGAAATTGATTCAAAAGTCAAGATGGCTTGGTGAGATTTTGAGAGAGTAGAATTGATAACAGGTAGATAGGCCAAGGTGAAATTGAAATGGATGAAAAATTTAATTTCCATGAGATGGAAAGGGAAATTGGTTTGTGAGACACAATATGGTACCAGATGTGTTACAGAAATTGGTCAAGAGGATTTCAAACTTTTTTCAACATTGTGCTCAAATCAAGTCATAGTAGCCAGAAAAAACAAGATCAATGCTTGAAAGTGGATTTCAATATCAACGGAATTGGAGGCACCAGAAAAACAAAATACATAAGCACAAATGTCAAGCTCAAGAACTCCATCAGGTTAAGCCTTAATTTTTCTTTCATGGGAATTTCCAGTTGCATATAACTGAAAGGGTTAAACAAAGCTTTAAATGTTGCAAAAGATGCCAACAAAAACCAATGATCGATACGGATATGCTGGTACGATTTGAGGGGTTCGTTGAATAAATAGTCTGACAAAGTAGGATTCTTCAAAACAATACTCTGCGCTATATAATTAAGAGCTAGCGCCCCTAATGCAGTAGTCACTGCCCTATAGTATACCCAAGTCTCTGGATCTAATTCTGCTTCGGAAATACTATTAACAGTGAGAGAAGAGCTATCAGTGGATGAGCTTGCTTCGGTTTTCTTTTCATGTCTATTTGACTTGATGGGTTGTTCCCCGGGTGCGCCTTCCCTCGAATTCTTAAGTATATGGCCCCACTTTTCTTCTTTATTGTTGGAAAAGCTGTCTTGACTTATTTCAAAAGAGAGATTACCCTCATAAGATCGATTGTGGTCAGAATCGTCAATGAATTCACCAAGCGGTTCGAAGGAGTTTCTGTTGGATTTGGCCGCTGAGTTCAAATCGGTTTGTTTGACATGTGGAGTTCGTGCAGGCCCGGCGGCTATCTTGGGAGTGGCGATAGCACAAATCTATCACCAGAACAACATTTGATTAGTCTTCCACTGATTGATCTCGTCCAAGTGAGGGCAAGTCATTTCAAGCAAACTCAACTATGGGAAGGATTTGTAAAGATTGCATGTCTGTGTATGCGCCCTTTCAGGTAGGATAGCTATGATTCCAGTGTGACGTTTGGTAGCACAACTTCAAGAAGGCACCAAGAGACCTAGGTATCTCAACCTTTATAGTAAATCAATGGAAAGAAGAAACTACGCATGTTGTTTTTTGCCCCCACCTTCTGCTTGAAGACATGAAATGACACAGCGACCCTTTTATCAAACAAACTGCGAGGGGAGGGGGGGGGGGGGGGTCATTCAACTTTCAGTACTTACCCAAGAAAAAAAAAATCTTTTGCTTAAGGTTGAAAATGTATTTAATTCAATTATCGCAGGCTGATTTGTTCATCCTTGTCTCACAAATCAAAACCATCACCCCTTGTACCGAGCACGGTTGCATGGTTCAATCTGCACTTATGCTTTTTCATGCAATGTGTTACATACTAAAATTTTTGTCAGAGTATCTGATCAAATTTATATAGAATGTATGATACCTAGCATTAGACTTCCTGGTATTCAAAAATATATTGATTTTCTGGTGTCATGTCAGGAGAATCTCTTTGACTTTTTTGTATTTAGCGAGGTTCAAATTCCACCAGAAAGTGAGTTGATAGATGTTTTTATTGCTGTGTCAGATTTGTCAGAATTTCAGCAGTGCAAGAATCCCTTGTGCAACAGGGGGTAGGTTAAATATGAATGGAAACTGTGATTAGTCTTATGGTAGTCTTCAAAGTTTATTTCAACCTAGTTTTAACTTGACGTGAAAATTGCACAGTGGATTAAATATGTGAAGAATGTTGTGTTGTTATACTGATAACATGGGACCTATCAAATAATTTCTTTCACATTATCTTGGACTTCAAAAGTGTTATAGAGTGAGTTTTCCTTGCAGTGTATTTCAGATTATCATTAAAATTTAAAATGATTTTTGGTCAATTTTATAATATGTTTCTAACAAATATTTCCCTTCATGTGTTACCTCTTTTGAAATCCCACACAATCCATAGCATGGTAATAACAAATTGGAAAGCTAAGATTGCCTTTTTTTTGAGATAAAAATCAATAAAAGGGGTGTAGACCAGTGGCAGGGTTGTCAAGGAGGAACTCAAAAATTCAACCAACTCATAAAAAATCATGAGATCAGATTTTGTATTGAAAACACAATGAAAGACTCAGATCGTGATGAAAAATGGAAAGCTCTCTGTTATGCGACATTCTAAAATATTTAATGGCACCCAGGGGCCAGAAATGACAAGTTGCTAACAACTATTTAAAACCCCAAAACCTTGGAAGTAGACTTGAATACGTGAGAGATTGGGTTGAATATAAAACCGCGATAGGGAAAAGTCAAGGCCATAATGTACAACTTTAACAGCTCAATTTTGGTTTTTCTTCCTCCGGGGAGTTTCAGTTGTATGAAACTATGGGGATCAAATAAAACTTTGAAAGCCAAGAAAAATCCCATCATAGACCAATAATCAGAATCCATATTCTTGTATGCTTGTACTGGGTTACTGAAGAAATAATCTGCCACATGAGGAGTATTTAAAATAGCAGTTTTGGCTATAAAACCCATAGCTTTCAATCCCAGCAGACAGCTTATTCCTAAGCGCGCCCAAGCCTCTGCATCCGATTCTTCTTTGGAGATTGTAGCAACAGAAGAACTACCAATGGAGGATCTTGGCCCGGCGCTATTCTTGCGTGTATTGGATTTGATGGGTTGATGAGCGGCTGCCACATCGTTTGGCTTCATATGTTTGTGGTCCATCACGTCTTCTTGATTGGAAGGGATGTGTCCATCCATTTTGGAAGCAAGATTACCCCCGTGAGCTCCATCGTGATCAGAATCGTCGCTTATTTGACCAAGCACTTCAAAGGGGTTTCTGGTCGATACACCCGCTGGGCCAGAGTGGGGTTCTTTGACTTGGGGCATTCGTGTGGGCCCAGCGGATGCCTTGAAGGTGGTGATACCACAAATCTATTCCCAGAACAAGAATACATCAGACTTCTGCTGATTTAAATTCATTGCAGTGAGCACAACTGGAGTCAACCAAACTCAACTATCAGAAGGATTTGTAACAATTGCATGTCTATCTATTCTTGAAGGTTACCGGTTAGCAGCAAGTTGTGTGGATTGATGCGGAGAGCTTTATAGTCACTCGAATCTAGTGGACCATGAAAAACCTAGCCATATCGTTTGTTGTCACTGCCAGCTTCTCGAATACCTGGAATGACACAACCACACCAAAGTCGAAGTATTTTACAAAAAATAACTGCGGGGGTCAACTTGTACCACCCAGAGAGCCAACATTTTGCTCGTTTTGCTTGGGGTAAAAGATGTACCTACTTCCATTGCAGGCATGTTTTTTGAACCCTGTCTGAGTACCTCATTGGTGCTAGCCAAAAACCAAAAGTATCATTCTTGGTACTATGCAGGCTCCCCCGGTGTAACCTGTACTTTTACTTTGAAATTCGTGCCTGAGTATCTGATCAAATTGACGTAGACTGTGCGCTACAGTACCAAACTTGAGACTTGCGGGTTGACAAAGCAAGTACATATTTTCTGGAGGCATGTCAGGAGGTTCTCTTTGCCCTGACCCCGCATGGAAGCAAGTAGTTTGTCCTGACCACGCATGGAAGCAAGTAGTAGGATCGAGTGAGTTTCACTAACCAATAAGTGAATTGATGTGACATGATGGTTCAAGTTGCTATTGATACTCTGGATGGCTCAGAGAGCCAGTAAAACTATCCAGCATTTGAGGAAGTGTATTGACTGCTCAGCTACAGACTTGAAGTTCTCTTGAACAATCATGTCCCAAAGCAATGCCCAGAGTTGCCCCATATTTGTATCTCTATCCAAATCCAGTGGATGATGAATAAAAGACTCTCAAGAAAAGTTAGTCATCTAGAGAGATCCACATAGTACATATGTGAGAACTGATAAGAAGGTTTGAACAAATGCCGACAATTTTCTTGAGGCCATATCCTGAAAATCAGACACAAGTTACAACTAATAGCAAGTTACACTGCAAGAACAGCTCACCCAACTGGGCACTACTGTCAACTGACTCCCATGGTGTGATAAAATAACATGCAATTTAATAAGTAACTGTGCATTGAGAAGTTAGGTTGATGAGATGAATTTTGAGCAAATTTTGAATAGCACCACAAGTTTATGAGTGACAGGGATTGTCAGAATATTTTGAATTTATCATACTCTGACACTTGTATGTACTCTATGCCTAGAAGCAGGTTTACCTCTCACCTGCCTGGTTTTCTCAGTCATTATACTGAAGTCTTGAGAAAATACATAAACATGTAGGCACATTTTCTGTCTGTCAGACATGATGTCCATTTCTCATTATTTTTTCTTTAATCCAAATATGTTGTTGTGGCATTGCATGATTTGGAAGCTAACACACCATCACATGTAGAAAGGAGGGAGTGAATGAGAAGAGGAGAAGAGAGGGTCTCAAAAGCTGGTGCCTTTGTTCAAAAGAGATTGAGAGAAAAAACATCGCCCATATCCTTATCAACAACAAAAGAAAAGATACACAATCTATGCAGACCTGATGGTGTTGATGACAGCAAAATGTGAAAGGGTGACTGGCAGCTATTAAAGGAGGTTGGGCAAGAGGCTGGCTTGGACATGTAGCAATGAAAACAGGGGGTCTTCAACTTCACACCAGATCAGGAATCGGTGCGGGGTTCTCCCACTTGTTACTAACCACTGACGAGTGGTACCCAGGAGGAGAAGATACCTAGCAGATAGTGGTGCGGGGGCCGGAAGAGCAAAGATCGATAGATTCGACAGTGGTGGGGAGAAGAGAGGCATTAACGGACCGCAGGACTACCGGCTCGGTAAGGCGCGAATGGGTTCGTTGCACCGTCTGAGCCGTTAGGCGCGTTGGGGTTTTTGATGCTGACAGCGCTGCTCGCTCGGGGGCCAGGTTCTTGCGGGTTGGAGAGATGATGGCGAGGAGGGAGGACTTGGCGACGGACTAAGGAGGACGAAGGTGTGACCGTCGCTTGCGGCGTCGGGATCGGATCGATCGGGAAGCCAAGTGGATCATCCGCAAGTGACGGTGTCATCTCGCGAGAAAATTGCGCTTGGCCAGACGACGCTAGCCCATAGATTTGTCCCAAAAATTTCCCGTCATCTAGTTCATTGTCGAAATATTGGGCCCGGAGACTGAAAAACGTGTCCGCTGTTAAAAGCGAGTCCGAGCCTGCTTGGTGCTCCTTTCCTTTGCGAACAACCTGTTGGGAGAAAAATCGGACAAGCGGAGATAAGCATGAAAAACTGTGGAGATTGAAGAGTTGATCGTTGCTTGACGAACGTTGAGGTCTTTGGCCACCTCGTTTAACCCGCCCCGGAGACTTTTGCAGCTTCTCATCAAGAATTTGATATCATAGATACAAGGGAACCAAGTCTTCAAGAGATCGAAGAATTCGTTCTCAGTTACGGGCATGTTGACGAGGGTGACCATCTTAAGGATATAGCCAAAGTCGTATCCGGAGTGGAAACTGATCCACTTGACGTCTTCGAGTAAAACGAGACCAGATGAGATGAGCAGTTCGCCAAAGTATTCCGGGTCGATTCCTTGTTCTTCATGTCGCTTGAAATTGAGCCCAGAGGCCTGAAGAAGTTCGATCGAGTCAGGCGCATACATATCCTCGCTAACATCAGCACGGTTAATGTGATAATCAGTCAAGTATCAGCGTTTCGGTTTGAATTTAGATGAAGTCCAAGCCAAGACAGAAGGAAGCAAAAGCCCTGGTGACGAACTTGAGGTTGAAGCGAAAGTTGAATTGCCACACGCATTTCCCTTCTGGTTTTCTCCCGTTCTCATCGCACAGAGTGAGGCCAAGTTGGATGATCTTCAAGAGGTCCACGTTGCAGCGCAGGGTCTGATAATGATAATCAGATGGGGTTTTGAAAGTACCGATAGGTCGAGCAACAACCCCAGGGAATTCGGTGTCCTGTTTAAAAATACATGAGTCAGATGAAAGTTCTTCATGTGCTACATATTCTTCGTTTCCTGAGAAAACAAAAAAATCTTGGAATTTGAGGAGCAATAGGAAGGAAAAAAAGGAACACACCATTCCGATGTATGGATAATACTCCACGAGGTCCCTGATGATAGCCATCTCACTGTCCAAGTTATCAGCCCAAACATCGCACATCTCGAACCTGTCCATTTTGACTGATGGCCGGTAGAGGCGGAAATTTCTGGGGTGGAAGAGACAAGGAGCCTTCTGGCAAGTTTGTAACTGTGTGAGTGCTTTGCTTGAGGTGGTTCAGCTGTGCTTGGTTGGGTGGGAGAAGGGTCCAGCTGGTGGTCGTTGCAGTACCGATTTTTTACTTCCGTGGAGCGGGGACGGGGGTCGTAGGTCCCCCGAGGCTCTGACTTCCACAGACGGTCACAGTCGGGCCGTTGTCGTCAATGGTCAAGTCAAATTGCGCACCCAGACTACGTCCATAAGGTTCTCACTCATGGCATGCCAGCTTCTTGGCGTGAAAAAAGTGCCACCAATTCTTCCTCAAAAACCAGAACCTGGCTAAGTTTTTTTTCCTTGAAATTCTTGACCTTCAACCTCACTTCCCCTCCTAATTCAACTTTGAGCATTTGGATCTCCTCTGCATTTTTGGAACATATGCCCACAACTTGGTGCACAGCAAAGCCAGAAGGTAAGAATTATCTCTTTGGCAAATTGTAGTTAAGTTACCAATACCTTCAATCAAGCCTAAAAACAAGCAATATTGTTCTTCTCAAGATAAAAGTGAGTAAAACGCATCAGCTGATCATGAGATCAGTTGGAGTCTTGAAGCATGTCCAATGTGTTTTCTCAGATTTAATATCATTGTTTATGAAAATATTTTACAGTCAAATTTCAGACTGTTAATTTATGTTTTCAAAGTTATGAGTCATTTTCCCAACTCTCTTGTTTTTTCTTGCCTATTCATTTCTATTGGAATGCCAATGCTCACTTGTGATGGTTACAGTTAATGAAATCAATGCACCCAAAATGATTTTTAGCTTGAGAAAAGGAGTTCCTTCCTACCATGAAGGTTCTTCTTCAAATAGAAACACCAGAGTATTGTATTTCCCGGTAGAGTTGAATGGGCCAGGGTTCCTTTTCTCAAGTGTCACAGAGATGTAATTTGCTGCGACAGATGTCAAGGATTGTGACTTTATCAGACAGGGGTTTCGAGGCTACCTGTCACGGATCCACGATGTCACATGTGCGTGTGATGGTAAGATCGATGTGGAATTTTGCTGATTACGTGTAGCAAGACTTCAGCCGAAAAGCCCGACTGGACACAAACATCATCATCCAACGACAGGACATCGATCACCAAAAGCAAAATACATCCACTCGGAAAGGACCCAGGCTAGTGGCTAGCAGGGCTAGGAGTAATCTTGAAATGTGAGTTCCTGTCATACTGTTCGATCCACTGGTATTCTGTTTTTGGTGAGGTTGACTATGTTTGTCTGACTATTCATTCTTCTGCCACTCATATTCAGGTCTAAATCAGGCGGAATCAAGATCGTATCCCCTGAGATCGAATCGATCGTCTTATTACGTCTGAGGCCACTGATCACACATACCTACGTCTTTCCATTCATCTTTGCGTATCCTCTTGCGGCTTATGCCTACTTTTTTGAGTAAGTTATCCATTCCGAAATTTGTTATCACGGATTGGACTGACTTGTTCCTCAAAACGTCTTAGATATGATCGCTATCTTCGCTCTGTGGATGGCGAATCACAGGAATGGACCTTCTTGCTCTGTGTCACCGTCTTCGGTGGTCATGCGTTGAGTTGGCTGGCTACAAGGTGGAATACAACTATCCGACAAGCAGCTACCTCTTTTAGAGTCAGTACCCTCACGAGACAGGTTCTCACCCAACGGCTGCTTTAAATCTGATCTCCACATCTTTCTGATTACAGGTGAATGATATCAGTAAGGCTGATCTTGTCAAAGTGATCCCCAAACCTAACAAAGGTACCCCTGCATTTTGTCCGATCTTGCACTCCAAACGCACCGTCCAAAATTCGAAATCCGAGAAGAATGCCCCAGCTCAGCAAGAAACCATACTGTACATTGAATATCAACGAGACCATTACTTTTACTCGCCTACTAGCCATTCATTTGGGCTGTTGGCTTACCCTTCAGACTCCAAACCACCGATGTCGACGATGACGAGTTCAAATGGAATCACTAGCGAGTCTGAGCTCGCCCTGGCCAAAGAAATGTATGGGAAGAATACCTTCGACATCCCCGTACCAACCTTCCTCGAATTGCTCGCCGAACACATGCAGGCCCCGTTCTTCGTCTTCCAAATGTTCTCAGTCGGTCTCTGGTTCCTGGATGAATATTGGTATTACAGTCTCTTCACGCTGTTCATGTTGATCGTCTTCGAATGCACCACCGTCTTCCAACGCCTGCGGACCTTGAACGAGTTTCGTACGATGTCGATCAAGCCTTATCAAATCAACGTCTATCGCAATGGGAAATGGGGCGAGGTGATATCCGATGAACTAGTCCCAGGTGACTTGGTGTCTGTATTAAGAACTAAGGAAGATTCAGCCGTACCTTGTGACCTGCTACTTCTCCGCGGAACCTGTATTGCAAGCGAAGCCATGTTATCTGGAGAATCAACTCCACTACTTAAAGAGTCGGTCGAATTACGTTCGGGTGACGATCAACTGGATTTCTTGGGCAATGATCGCAACTCGTGTTTATTCGGTGGAACCAAGATCTTACAAGTTACTCCATCAACTTCAGATGCTGTCGGGGATAAGCTCAAAACGCCCGATGGTGGTTGTTTGGCCATTGTTCTTCGCACTGGATTTGGAACCACTCAGGGTCAATTGATCAGGACGATGATCTTCTCTACCGAACAAGTCACCGCAAACAACTATGAGAGCTTCCTGTTTTTAGCATTCTTGATGCTTTTCGCGATCATTGCAAGCCGATACGTCTGGGTTAAAGGAGTCGAACGCAACTTGAAACGGTCGAAGTTGTTACTGGATTGCGTGATCATCATCACCTCAGTCGTCCCACCCGAGCTGCCAATGGAACTCTCCATGGCTGTCAATGCCTCCTTGGTTGCTCTTTCAAAGTATGCCATCTTTTGCACCGAGCCATTCCGAATTCCTGCTGCAGGCCGGGTCGATGTATGTTGCTTCGATAAGACGGGTACAATCACTGGGGAAGACTTGATGGTCGAAGGTGTAGTTGGGGTAGATGATAAGGACGTCCTTAAACTTGTTCCACTCAACCAAACCGGTATGGAAACCACCTTTACTCTGGCTTCAGCTCATTCACTGGTCCTACTAGATGATGGTATAATTGGTGACCCGATGGAGAAAACTACTCTCGAGGCGGTGGGTTGGGGTGTCAACCAAGGAGATACCATCCTACCTTCCTCCAACGATCACACCCATCGGGCAGTAATCACCATCAAACGCCGCTTCCAGTTTTCTTCCCTTTTGAAACGGATGTCGACGGTTTCGAGTGTCGTCACACCTGATCGACAAACGAAGACTATGGTTTCAGTCAAGGGAGCACCTGAGGTCATCAAGACTATGATCACCAACGTCCCTGAGCATTATGAGAGTACATATAAATATTACACCCGTCGGGGAAGTCGGGTGTTGGCCTTGGCGTACAAGTTCATCAACATCCAAGGCGCAAATAAAATCAACGACCTTCTTCGAGAACAAGCCGAGTCTGAGCTCATCTTTGCCGGGTTTTTGGTCTTCACTTGTCCCCTCAAGCCAGATGCAATAGAGACATTGAAAATGCTTGCAGATTCATCGCACCGAGTGCGTCTTCTATACTTATGATGACATGGGGCGATCCAATTTTTTACTCAACTGATACTAAACTACTTTCCTTGAGCATCCAGTGTATCATGATTACCGGCGACAATCCTTTGACAGCGGTACATGTAGCCAAAGAGGTCGAAATTGTGGATCGCGAATGTTTGGTATTGGATGTACGAGAAAACTCCACAGATGAAAAAGGTGCGCTTGTGTACCCAACTTGAGCATCAGCGCCATTTGTTGATCTTTGATTAATCTTTATGTTAGATTTGGTCTGGAGGACGGTGGATGATCAGATGATTATTCCAGTGGATGTATCCAAACCGATCGATCCCAAGATCCTTTCAGATTATGATTTGTGCATAACTGGGGTAGCCCTGAAGCAATTTGTAGGGATGCCGAGCTGGGTGGATCTAGTCCAGAATGTCTGGGTGTACGCCCGAGTCTCGCCAGCGCACAAGGAGTTAATTCTGAACTCGCTCCGATCTCTGGGATACACGACTCTGATGGCGGGTGATGGGACGAACGATGTGGGTGCCTTGAAGGCTGCACATGTTGGCGTGGCCCTCCTCGACGGATCTCCCGACGACCTTAAGGCAATTGCCGAACACCAGAGGAACGAACGGCTGAAGAAAGTCTGGCAGACTCAGTTGAATATCTCGCAGAGATTCAATCAACCCCCTCCTCCTGTACCCGCCGCTCTTGCTCAGGTGTACCCAGAACTTGTTGATGTGCACCTCAAGGCACTCAAAAGCGGCCAAGACGCCCGGAAAGCCAATCCAATGGAAAAGGTTCGACAATTTCTGCCTCCTATTTGCAAGATTTTGTTCACATTGGCTGATATAACTTGAACTTGTTTACTAGTTCAACTTGGCCGACATTACGTCTAAAATGGCCGATATGGACGAAGACTCCGAAGGGCCGCCCAAGATTAAATTGGGTGATGCATCGGTAGCAGCCCCGTTTACGTCAAAACTGTCAAACGTCTCAGCAGTCTCGACGATCATTCGACAAGGCCGATGTACGCTAGTTGCCACGACCCAGATGTACAAAATCCTTGCTTCAAACTGTTTGATCTCGGCTTACAGTCTTAGTGTTCAATATCTGGATGGGGTCAAGTTTGGTGACTATCAGATGACCATCCAAGGTGTCTGCATGTCTGCCTGTTTCCTCTGCATCTCTCGAGCTAAGGTCAGTATCATTCTCCCTTTGTACATTTTTATGGAGGAAGATTTATTGCGGAAAGGTTGGACTGTTGAATATTCACAATGCCAATATGATCTTCACTTTTCAGCCTGTTGAAAGGCTATCCAAGGAGCGGCCTCAGGGGAGCATCTTTAACACTTATGTCGTGGCTACTGTCCTGGGACAATTCATGTGTCATTTAGCAGCATTGATCTACATTACAGGACTTTGTGAAACAACATCACCGTGAGTACTCATGTCCAAAACGAGAAAACTTCCAGGCATCGAAGGGATTGATCACTGACTCACCACCGACATACCATCTTCTGACTCAATCCAATGAACAAATATGTATATGCAGACGCACCAAAGAAATCAATCTGGATGCTGAGTTCGAGCCGAGTCTATTGAACAGTGCGATTTACTTACTCTCGACCTGCCAAAGCGTCTCCACCTTTGCGGTGAACTTCCAAGGCCGACCGTTCCGGGAAGACATCAAGGAGAACAAGCCGCTGTTCTACGGCTTGCTCGGAGCGGCAGCAGTGGCCTTCTGCGGGGCTACCAACTTCGTTCCTGAAGCGAACGGCTGGCTCCAATTGGTGGACATGCCTACCAGCGTAAGTCTACAGATCCTTGGTCATCCTCTGCTCGGAGTGATTCCTCTTCCTCATCAGCGTTTGGGCTGTTGAACTTACTTGTTATTCAAATATTTAGTTCCGGATGCAGTTATGTATAGTCATGTGTATGGACTTCGGCGGCGCGATGTTGGTGGAGTTGATTGCAAAGTTCCTGTTCTCAGATGTTCGGCCGAAAGGGATGGTCATCAAAGGGATCGAGCGTCGAGAAGCTCGGAGAAAAGTCGAGGAGAAGATCCTTCTTGAGCAACAGAACTCGACCGCTGAACTCGATTCTACTGCTTCAGATCAGAAAGCTTCTTCTTCCACTGCCTTGAACTCGCTTCAAGATCAAAATCATATCCGCAACAGAAACCCTAAAAAATCTTCTTCGCAAAATAAACATCAACGGTAAAAAACAAAACAATACATCTGCAATGGGAATTCTCTTGATTCTCTTTTTTTATATACTAGAAGTTGGTGATTGTGATTTTTGTTTATTTGTTTCATCTTTGATTATTATCATGAGTCATCATAGATCTTCATTTTCATTTTATTGTTTATTAAGTTGAGTGAATGTTTGTTTTGGGGAGAAAAAAAAAAGAAATGGTTGTCATCCTAATCATAGTAATCCAACACAAAAAAAAACACTTTTATCAGCTCATGATGAAGGTTTACCATAAGAAATGGGGTTGCAAAGAATATGATTTTCCAACTCATTTCTTCTATTCCAGTCTGTTTACATACAACTTACCTCAGACATCATCTTTAGCACCAAGATGTTTTTCTCATCATCATTATTATTTACATCCAGTTAGCTGTGGTCCAATGAGTCTGAAGGCTGGATGTCTGACAAAGCTCAGGCTCAGCAGGTCTTCTCCACATAAGAAGTGGACTTTCTCTTGATGGTGTCAACCATCATGGGGCTATAAATAGGCCTTTGTGTCCTGCTGCAGTGGCAGAAGCTGGGGTGCAGGGAGGGCCAGGTGAGGGAAGAGTCATTGAAATCTTGCTGGTCCTCATTGCTCCCTTGAACAATTCTGGTGTCATTTTATCTTCAGGAAAGGAAAAAAAAAAACAAAGCATGTTTTACTTTAGACATCATCAGAAACTAAAACAATCTCTCAAATAGTTGGGGATTCCTGGTGTGCTTTTAAAAAGTCTTCATCCTTCAAACAGCGGTGGGCCGCTACGCTACACTACGCTACAGGCCCATGTAGCGTTAGCGTAGCGGCGCCAATTTTTTTTTTTCGCGTAGTGTTAGCGCGCCGCTACGGCCGCTGCGCTACGCTAATTTGTAGCGGCGCTAACACTCGCCAATTTTTGGTGTAGTGTTAGCGCGCCTCTGGCGCCGCTACGCTGCGTTACGCTACGCTACAGCGTTTTTAGCGGCAAAAAACCCCTAAAAACTGCTGTAGCGCAGCGTAGCGGGCAGTTTTTTGCGCCCTGCGCGCGTAGCGTTAGCGCACATGGGGGGAATCGCGCTAACGCTACGCTAAACGCTAGCGCAAGTTTTTTCCCCATTCGCGTAGCGTTAGCGCGGAAAATGAGAAAAGCGCTAACGCTACGCTAAATTGTAGCGGGTTTTCGCTACACTACGCTACGCTAACGCTACGGTTAGCGTAGCTGGCCCACCGTTGCTTCAAACATGTTTTTTATTTTCTTTGCTATTTTGGTCACTTTGTTTTCTCAGGATCAGTGATTTTGGTATTACTTTTCCACAGTTTTTGGCCCCAACCAGATAAACAGATAGCCATTTTACACAGAAAATCCCTGTCTGAAATGTCCCTCTTTTTTGTGGATTTGATCTGATAAACTCAGCAAAAAACCAGCCATTGGGTTCTATCACTTGGTGGAATGATTAGTTCTGGATATAAGAAGATGGACTGTCAATCCAGAATTGTGCCCATCTAACTCGTAATCCTGGATCAAGAATTCTTGGAAATTGCATGAGTTGTGTCTCATCATGAGCCAATCTTGCAAATTTTTCTTATGCTTGGGTTGTGTATCCATCTTGTTGCTCTTTTTAACCAAGTTTAAATTTGTCACAGAAACTAACTAAGTGTGACCATAGCACATTCATTTGTTGCCGCACATCTTTGTTTTGCTTTGGAATGTGGTGCTTGTGCTTGCTCTCTTCTTGGAGTTGAGAAAAATTCATTGCTTCAGTGGGTTAAGCAATGGTATATATAGCTTCAACTCATAGCTTCCAACTGGTCCATCTTAGTTGAGTTGGATAACCTCACTGGCAACCTCATCACCTGATTCATCTGCCTTGCACAACCACCACCGTCCTGTGTTCAACCCCTATCTGGTGCAAATATCTCTCATCATGCACATCAAGTCCGTAACAGCAATCTGCTGTCTGGCCAGCTATGCCCTTGGGATGCCCATGGAATCAAAGGAACTGGCGGCAGGATCTAAGCTTGGCTCTGAATCAAAGGGAGCAAAGACAAACAAGCCCCCAGACGCTGAAAGGTGTCATAATTGTGGTTGTGTGCTCACTGAAGAGGACACTGCACCCCCTCCTAAAGAGAAAATCAAAGGCTCAAAATCCACCAAATCTAAACCCAAAAAATAAATAATAAAAAATGGGATAAACTCCTGATTGTCATCAATCAGCCCTCGTGGCACAAAACCTTTTTTTTTGGCTTGGATTTTTAGTGTGGTTTCTGTGAGATGAAATGTGAGGTAATGATGCAGTGTGAGAAAAAAAATTCCATCAATAATTGTATCACAAAGAAAATTTCTTGCCGGCCTCTTCTCAGGAATAAGATAACTGTGAATTAACCACATTGTTGAAATTTTGAACTTAGGCGTGTAAGAGGTTTGAGGGCCAAAAAAGGAAAGGACTCTTTTTTGGGAAAGGCTCACGGAAAGGAATTTAGAGAACCAATGTTTTTTATTCACTAGTATCTAGTCAGGTTTTAAATAGACTAAGTACAAGTGGCCAACAAGTGTTTACGAGAAATTAAATGAATAGAAAAAACATATTGAATAAAACACTGAGAGAAAGAAACATGAGTCTTGGAAGTAACAAACTGGACAGGGCGTCTCAGTCTCTTTTAGTCAAGCCAGATGAGTTAATCAAGAAAAACATGCTATAATTCACAAATAATTAGAGTCGTTAATTCTAATTAATCAGGTTTTAATAAATCAAACGGTAAATCAGAAAAAAAGAAGAATTTGTTGTGGAGACATGAGTAGTTTAGAGTAAGCTGATTACTTATGGTTCAATATTTGACTCAAAAAGGGGCTTGAAACAACCAAAAACATGCTACTTGAAGAATATAGTCAGGTCTGACTTAATGATGACTAGAAAGAGTTAAAGGGCAGAGAGAGACAGAATGAGGAAAACTCAACACACATATTGCAATAGTTGAGATTATTCTGATACTGTGATTCATTGGAACTGCAAAGCTCATGCCCAGGGAATTTGGGAGAATTGTTAAACCCTAGGGCAGGGTGGGAGCAAGCACCGCTTGATGGATGATTGATTGGCACCATCTCAAACAATTGGATTGTATATCTGATCTCATTGCTAAGATCCTAGATCATTGATCTCTAATCCAAATCATACTTATAAACCAGCACAAGCAACCTCCTATTGGCCCAGTAAGGTTTACCATGAAAAAACAGACTGCATGCAAACACAGATTCTTCAAATACAGTCCAACATAGTCTTCTCCCTTTTTCCAGTGTATGGACTATTGGAGGACAGTTGTTGTTCCTTTACTCAACCACCATTCCCATCAACTTTGCTATCAAACTTTGTTTCCTTTTCTCTTTTTCTCAATATCTCTCAGCCCCCACTCTGGCCACAATTTCAACTCATCAACTCACTCACATCCTCATTTTACCAACTCTCTCTCTCTCTCTTTAGACTTCCTCACTTGCCTTCTGCCATTTTGGCAAGAAAACTACATCATATATATTCTCTCTCTTGCCTGGATTATATTAACCATTTTAGTTTTTTTATTTTTTATTTTATCTTTCTAATTGTCTTTGTCACACAGTGCCTACTATTTTTTCATTCTTTGATCTTATATACTTGAGCTTGTCTGCTCTGTCTCCTTGTGTTATGTAATGTGTCCCTACTTTCTTGAATTGTTTTGCCTTTGTTTATAATTTATGGTGTCCAAAACTGCATATGGACTTTTCAGTATAACAGTATAAAGCCAGATTTGCCAGGGACCTGTCATGTACTGTTAAGTAAAACTGTACATATGCAGTTTTGAACCCCACAATTATTGTTTCTGACTTGTTTTTTCTTCTATAGTTCTGGTTCTCATAATAAAACCCGCTTTCCATCCCATTATGCATCCAAATCAGTGAATTTTTCTCCTTCAACCTGCGGTAGTATCTTTCTACTTAGGCAACAAACTATGTCGGTATTTCTCGGATGTACATTTGTGAGAGTGAGTGTAAAACAATTGATTCATAGCAATTGATCTAATTCTCCCTTCTGTTCTTTTGTCAATAAGTCGTCACAACCACCGATGTGTTGCGAGTTGATGAAGATCTTTGATGGATGCGTTTTTTGAAGAAGTGGGCGACGTAAGCAAGCAAGTAGCAAATCTGATGAATTTGTTTTGGGGATATGAAGGAATATGAAGATACTCAACTTGTGGGACTGTGATCTTCTCTTTGTTTAATCTCTTGGATAATAGGGTCTGGATGATCGATCCATTGGGCTCTAAATCCAATTCCAAACTCTATTTGACAATAATAACAAAACAGATCGTTGATAATAAGTTGGATGATGTGGTCGGATTGTTTGATGCTGGAAATGATTTCAAAAAAGGATTACGCAACTTTGATTTTGATTTGTTTTGATTTGAGTTTATCATTCAAGAAGCTCTTAGATCGGTCGCAATAAGGACAATAAGATTTGCTGAAGATGAGTACTTTATTGGATGAAATCAATGTCTGTTTTTGGGCACCAAGATAACACGAAATGGGGACGGTTTCAACAATCGGTCTCCGGCTCCTTCTTTAAAAACATGTGAACGGGTACATACGTCGATTGATTTTTGGATTTCGTTGAGCTCGTTGACCGATAAGTGGTTGGCATTGGTCGACATTTTGAGCAATGAACAGTTGGTGAATGAGCGCATCATCCTAAACAACGTTGCCATTTCCTCGTTTTTTTCTTAAATTTCTTTCTTTCAGGTCAATTATGGTTCGAATGTGTTCTACGAGTTTATCCAATCCATAGTTCAATAGGTTCAATCAGCATCTTCTTCTTCTTCTTCATCGATGTGTCATCAGTAACAGGTGGAGGAACAACTCACCGGTTTCAGAATTCTTGGCGATTCGGTGTTTGTACTTTGGCCAGATGAGCCTTCGGTGTGTTGGAGTGCTTGCAGTCCAGGCCCCTCTTCCTCTCCTGCATAAGCCCCCCTTGCAGTCCACACCCTTTCAACCCCCAAAATTCGACGGTCCCTCTGAGCACAGGATGACCATCAAAAAACCAATTTCCTATTCCAGCTGGAACAAAAAAAACATGGCGATCGGTTCAAGTAGTACAACCAGGATAGTGGAATGCAGGCTAATATAGGCCGAATATCCCTGTCGTGGCTCTGCCAGTCGCCGGCCTACAAAACACAATCACCAACACACTCCGGGATATACATCCTACCTGTCTTGGACCAACAACAACCGAGATGTCGACAACAATTGAGCACTTCCTGACGCCTGGTGCCGCCCATGCGGCCTCGGCCTTCGCCGCCTGCAGCTACGTGGGCGTCCTGTACCTCTTTCCATCCTGCCGCACCCGGCCCTTGGAGACCGACCAGGAAGGCCGCAGACTCGATCGCCTGCACCCGGTTATCCTCAAGGCCCGGCTCTGGGCCGTCTCCGTCAGCTGCTTCTTCAGCCTCCTCCTGGTCGCCGTTCTCGCTGGAGCTTGCTCAGATACACCTCTTCCATCCTCCGTAAGACTTCAAATCTGATAAATTCATTAAAGTAGTTTGGAAGAAAGAAGTACTCGAGAGAAGCCAGTCATGTGATAAGTAACTCACTGGACTGGCTTGGTCTTTTTTACACAGTCTATCGGCGAGACTCTCCACCGAACGCTAGTGCTCACGGGGCTCGAAACGCGCCAGATACACTCGACTCTGGAACACATCCGACTCCTAATCCAGCCGGTGATCCTGACGGCGATTCTATACCTAGGGGCAATCTACACGGATGTAGTACTAGAGCCGAAAAAGCGGACTGGTGATGAGGGTCCATCGAGTGGAAGACTCAAGGAGATCATCAACATCTATGTCGTTCGGGCCTTGATTCTCGGCCCTCTGTACGAAGAGATCGTCTTTCGCGGGTGTATCCTGGCCTTCCATTCTCTCGTCTCGCCCGCCGACCAGCTATCTAAAACCAAACTCATCTTCTCCACTCCGCTCTGGTTCGGCTTCGGTAAGTCCAATCACCACCTCTCTGAAAACAGGAAAAGTTTACATCCGAGAAAAACAAACACGAGGCGTGAACGTATGAGATGATTCTGATATTTCGCGATTGATTGGGGCTGTTTTTAGCTCATGTCCATGGTGTTTGGGAGACTTATCGCACCCTGGGCGGGGGCAAGAAGGCCCTGATGATCGCGACCATCCAAAGTAGTTAAGTGATTGACACACCTTCTAACCTCTTCACTACGAACTTCTCAGGATCCTCATCCTCGATTCATCCTCATTTCTCTTGACTTATATTTTCAGCTTTTCAGTTCATCTATACTACCATCTTCGGCTGGTATGCTGCATTTGTTTTCCTGCGAACCGGTAAGCAAAAACACGATTCAGCGGATGGCAAAGAGATAGTTGGCGATTTTCTGTCGTGTTTTGAAGAACTCATCTTTCGTTTTTTTTTTTTCTTTCTTTCTTATTTTGGACACCTTTTTGATGTATCAGGTTCCGTGATTTCGGCGACGCTTTGCCATAGTTTTTGCAACTATATGGGACTGCCACCCATCTTAGAATCGATGAAAAGATTCCCAAATAAACGGATAGGTGTGTTACCCACAAAAAAACAAAGAAATCCTCTCTCTTTTTGTTTTCTTGCTGGATTGGAGCTGACCAAGTCCATACCAAAATCAGCCATTGCGTTTTATTATTTGGGTGGGATGGGTGCGTTTGGATATCTGTTGCAAAGATGGGCTGTCGATCCGGCCTTGTTCCCGTCCAACTCTTCCTTCTGGACCACCCGTACAGTTGCGGACGGCAAAAACCGACCCTGGATTTGCAGGATGTCCGAATAGTTTAGCTGAAAAATTGAATTTTTTTTTGTATTTACATGGTTTTCCAGCCCTTTTGGGGCCAAAGATCAATATAAAACTGGCTCAGAGTGTCGAATAAACACTCCAAGTTGATGCTACAGGCACTTGAAGGACCTCGAAGAGGTATAAGACCATGAATAAGCCTAACTTAAACCCATAACTATGGGTTTAAGTATGGCTTTTGGTATGCATGTCCGGATACATGTATGTCACACAAATAAAAAAAAAGAACCACTGCAGTAGAAGCTTAGTGGTTACAATTTTGAACTCTACACATCTTTAGGAGTTCAAAATTGTAATAAAAATAAGTATCGGGGTACATGCCCCCCCGGGCATAGACCCCGCGTGTCAATCTTTGATTTTGCGGGCGGGGCATGGTCGGTTTTTGCCATCCGCAACTGTAGTACTAAACAACACTGAACAAAACTGGCCTGACATCATATGGATTTGGGTCTCATCATGATGTGAAACTCTTGAAAAATGCTCTTCACAATCTCATTGTTTCTCTTGATCTCTCTAATAATTGAAACTAACTGAGTGTCCCCATCACATTTTACTTTGTTGCCTTACCTTTTTTTTGGTTCATGTTTTTGTTTGGATTTGTAGTCCTTGTACTTGTTCACTTCTTGAAGTGGAGAGCCTAGAAATGTATATTACTCCAGTAGGTTTATGTGACGGCTTATAAAGCCAATACTCATGCATGCCAATCACTCCACCTTAGTCAAGTTGGAAAACATCACTGCCCTCCTCGCCACCTGATTCCAAAGCCCTGTGCAACTACCACAATCCTGTGTTGGCCTGTGTTCAATTCCCACTTTGGTACAAACAACCCTCATCAGCATGCACATCAAGTCTGTAACAGCAATCTGCTGTCTTGCCGGCTTTGCTCTGGGAGCACCGATGGAGCCTAAAGACGTGGTTGCTGGCCGCACGCTGGGCTCTGGATCACGAGGACCCCAGAAATGCAAGCCTCCCGAGCCCCCCACCCGTCCCTGCCCAGAATGTGGCAAAGAGATCCCCATAGCTCTGCGGCACCAAAAGAAAGAGCCTATCACACAGCCTAAACCTGCTCCACCTAAACCTACTTCACCTGAAACCAAACCCTAAAATCAATGGGAAACATTCCTGATTGTCATCAATCAGCCCTTGTGGCACCAAACCTTTTTTTTTGCTTTGGTTTGTAGTGTGGCTTTGGTGAGGTCATGCTGAGATATGGTGTGAGGTACTATGTCACCTTTCCAAGGGCATACCCTGGAATATATATGAGCCATATTGATGAGCTTCTTTCAAGTCTTGATTTTACTGAACATTCACTCAGAATAAGGGCAAAAGCTGGCTCAAGAAATACAAATACTCTGCTCCCTTTGATCAATCATTCAGTGCTTCATTGGACCCAATTGGATAACAGTGATTTTTTTTCTTCTTTTTCTATAGATGAAAAAAACAGATGTTTCAATCATTTTTATCACCAGGATGGCATGATCAGTGTGGAAGACTTAATGAGAATGTTATTCAAACCTAAAATCATCTTCTCTCTGGTGTGTCCTTGAAAGCTTTGGTTGCTCACTGATTCTTTTATTGGGATGATTCTGTGTGGATATCTTGTGAAAAGTTGGGCTATAAACCCAGGATTTTTGCTTTCCGACTCATCTTTCCAGGCCACCAATGCTCAAAAACCAAAACTGAAGACTGGCTTGGATTCACATGCTTTGGATCTGGTAGGAAAGCTCTGGAAGAGTTTTACAAAAATACAGCAGTTTCTTTTACTGAAACAAATGTGTTGAGAAACCTGAAGATTGTTGGAAATGATTGAATGAGCTTACAAGACAGAGAGAAAAAAGGTGAAATATTTCTGTGTCTTTTATTATGTTGTACAGTGGGTGCCCCGTTATTTTTGGCGCGGGGTAACTTGGGGTACAAACCGGTGACATCCCAGGTGAACCTGGGATGCACTGGCTTGACATATTCGTAGTGATCGGAGTGGTCAACAAGGTCAACCACTCCAATCACCCACCGAATCGATCTCATCACCCCAAACGACTTCCTCGCTGCCTTGGAACAACCGACCAGACCATCACCAATAAATGTCAGTTTCCTTCTTATTAGTATTCATGAAAAAAAACTAACTTGTATCTCTTTTTTTCTAGATGGTCCGAAACCCGAATGCTAAGCCTCACCTGTCAACCAAGCAGAAGGCAAAGATCGTCGGGATGTCGGACGCTGGGATGACGCTGTTAAGCTCAAAAGTATTCCTGAGAATCTTTTGCTGAGTGCGGAAAGGGATGTGTGAGGTTGCCTCTGCCTTTCCTGGTTCACTAGACACTAAAACAAGCCCACCAATCTCAGATTGGCAGGTTTATATAGTGATAGTGGAGTGTTATCAAAAGATAACTGTCGTCTGAGCCGTGGATGGTATGTCGTGTAAGGTATTTATATGTAATTAATATGTACTGAAAGGGACAAGGCTTCAACCAGGTGCAAGTTGGATGAAGGGGCTCCAAAAATAAGGGTTGGGTAATTATATAAGTGTTGAGAGGTGTGTACTAATTGTAATTTCAATGGTGGTTGGTATGTATGTAAGTAAAATATATATAGGGTATAATAATAATGGTGAGCAGGTTTGTAATGTTATAGGGGAAACACTGGTGCAGTACTCTGCTGAGGGCAGTACTCTGCTGGGGAAAAGAAAAAAGATACAACTGGGGGGGAGGAGAGCCTCCTTATATAGACAAGAGTGAGTTATTTTGGCCCCCAAGGGGGGCACTACATGAGGCAGTGTGACTAGGTACATCAGGAATACATATGTTGAATGGTTGAATGTGATTGGTCAGGATTGTACAGCCCTGTGTGAGGTTTGCTGCAGGCTGAATGAGTGCTTGTGATTGGTCAGGACTTGATGTGTGTTCTGCAGGGTTGTGTAATGTTTTTAATGATGTAATATGCAGTTGCTAGGCAATGACAAGCCACTCATGCAAGCGGCTGTGCCTGCATGTATACTTTTGTACTGGTCATGCAGGACGTATGCGCCTTGCTGCAACCTGCTGCACCTGCATGTATACTTTTGTATTGGTCATGCAGGACTCATGCAGCTATATGTAGTATGTTGAGTGCAGTTGCTTCCTGTATATGTAGCCTTGAGGGTTGTAAATGATGGGTGTCAGTGCCAGTAATGATGTAGAGTGAGAGAGGGTAGAACTATGAATAAACTGTAAGTGGCTAGTAAGGGTATTTTGAGCCATAGATTTTGATTCTGCAGAGATATAGAGTGATAACTAAAGAGAAAATAGAGTAGAAATAGAGTAAGAAGAAGAAAATGAATAAAATTTTTATTTTAGCAATATGGTATACCATAAAGC